AGATCAAGGAAACTCCCTCCGCTGGCTGAGGAAGCCCCGATCAAGCGGCTGTAGTGCCAAATAAGAAGAAGGAATCCGCAATATATGTGCCAGGTAATCACCGTACGTAAAATATTGGAAAATACTTGCGAGAACAGGGTCGGAACACACCATATAATTGCCCATTTTAAAATCGATTTCGGCTGAACAAAAAGAAGTTTCCTTTATGCAGCGTTGTCTGAATTTGATATCCCCGCGAAACGAATACGGCTGTTTTAAATGACATTGAGCAATACCACTATCTCTATCAGAATTAGGAAGGGACTTTTTCAGAAAGGAGGCTTCAGATACTGCTACTCCGTTTCGAGTGACTTCATTGAACTTATATTGGAGAAGATAATAGGGGTCTTCCCTTACACTCGTAAACGCCGTAAACCTCGTAAAGCTCGAGCCTCGTGAAAAAACTGTCAAAATTTGTATGGAGCTCTATTTACGAGCCCCTCGTAAAATTACGATGCAAATTAGGTGCGCAAACGACCTCGCAAACTTTAGTGTTGCCAAGGTGCCGAAATTTGTATACTAAAAAGTATGATAAAGTAATGAAAAAAATAATAAGCAAATAAAATGAATGAATTTTAACCACTTATTGCATTGACTTAGGTTTTCTGCTAATTTTCGGCATTTTTAATTGTATTTTAGCCAAGAGTGATAGCGACAAGATGGCGGGATGTTATGGAAAATCCTGGTTGATCTGTCAAACAGTCAGTTTACGCACCTTTTCCCAAAGGGGGAGTTCCTATAAAAGGCTCGTAAACTTACGAGTTTTACACAGTTTAAGACCTTACGAGTTTAAGGGAAACCGCTCTGAGATAATCTGCACTATCCTGAGTTTCCTGAAAAAAAAAATCCGAAATTTTGTCATCCGCCCATAGTAAAACCATGGAAACCGTAAGTGAAAAGTGAACCGGTTCGGAGAAAATGAAACTCATGATAAAGCTGAACTTTTTACAAGAGCGTACAATTGTTGGAGTATGTCGACGACACACAGAGGAGTGTTTGCATTGTAAAGCCGGTAAAAATGATTCTTTCAGCCTTATCAAGAGTTTCATTTTCCCCGAACCGGTTCACTTTCAAGGATGACAAATTTTCGGGTGACTTTTTTTTAGACGAAACTCAGGATAAGACAGTATTATGTCTTTTTCTACTCAGTAATCCAATAAAATATGGAACTTTATCATAATTAGGGGTTTATAGAAGAAAAAAGATCATCCTTTTAACATTTTTATGCACCAGATATAGCGCTCTTACACGATACACATATACTACTTTTCTGATACGTTCTAATATAATGGACATACGAGTAGATACAAAAAAGTAGCATTTACATATACAAATACATGTCGCTCTTACCATAGGTCCAAAAAAACCTCTTTTTCAGAAAATGCACGAACGGCATTCTTATTTCTACAGCATTTTTAGATTGGCGAGTTGGGATATGCCCATCGTACTTTTAGTAGATTGGCTCTTGTTCGATACCGTTACATTGTAATTAACTCCACACTTATGCCACTGTCAAAATAAACGGCTTATATTATGTAGTTATATGTTACATGGGGACAGACATAGGATGCATCCACAAAACATCGGAGCTCTACTGTGGGGCGCAGTTCCAGTTAAGGGACACCACCGCATGCTTTGCAAGTGGTTTCCACTGGGATGTTACCGTAGGGACCGCCCCAGCAGACACTAGCTCGTCGGCACTTTAAGGAGGCATCCGCACAATCACAGCGTTCCCACGACAGTCGGGTTTACGTAGCCCGAACGACCATCATTGTATCTGGCAAAGGATTTTTACTACAGCAATATTCTCCAAAAATTCGTTAGATAGTTTGTAAACTATTACAACAGCCACCACTGGACTGGATCGGCAACCGACAGAAACTGAATGCCAATGATGTTAATATTGATCAACACGAAGAAATCACAGTATCACTGGCTTCAATTTCGTTTTGCTCCAGGTTGAACTTCATAATTAATCCATACATAACAAATGTGTCTGCAGCATGTGGAGAAGACCTCACGACCCATAACTGGCCAAGGACTGTCACTCCAGCAACACTCCTCAAAAACCCTTTGGCGAACTTGTATGCTGCTACAATAACAACAACAACCTCACGACAGCCCCTCTTAGGGTGGCCAGATATTATAGGGACATAATCAGTACAGTTGGGATCAAAAATCAGTACAGAGCCATAAAAATCAGCTCATTTTTAAGTGTATTTTTTATTATTAACAATATAACAATCAAATAACAGCGCATTAATTGAAAAAAAAAATAAATAATAGACTCTTAAATACATATAGTATTATCAATACAAAAATTCATTACTTTAAAACAAATCAATGGTATTACGTATGTTTGTACAGCTGTGCTCAGGAAAATAGTAGTAAAATGTATTGACAGGTTTTGAAAATTTTTTCTTTCCTTACTTAATTTAATTTTTTTTTTTTACAAAAATATAGTTAATTCTATAACAAAAGACATGTGAGTTGAAGTCTCAAACTTTCTAGAAAATTTATAAGAATCAAGAAAATAAAAAGAAAATTGTAGCCCATTCAGTTTCAGTAGAAGACGAGCTCGAGTCAGAATCTGTTTGCATATTTTAAGCTACAAATTTAAAACATATTTAGTGGGAGTACTTATTAAATACAACATTCACATTAAAATGTTGACTAAAAGGTATATTACCGAATTATAGCTAAACGAATTTTCGAGTACGAATAAAATTTAATAGTGTTAAATGTGTATGTGCAAATAAAATTACAGGTGGTCGAACATCAAAAATCAAAGTAAAGCTACATATATCATATCCAAGAGTTGGTAGTTTGCACCTTTTCCAAATTTTTAGAGCTTACATTGCACCGTAGCAGTAGTCGTTTTTAAGTTTGAAATACTGACAGCCGATTTCTCAGTGGATGTTTAATTATAATCGTAAGATTATCTCTTATTGTCATCTTCTCAGTGTACTTAATATATGATTAATTCACCACCACCTTTCATAAGATTTATTAATGGCGAAACCAGCTTTTCCTGTAAATCCTGTAAAACCTGCAAGTCGTGAAGTAGGGTTGGGTTGAATCCAAACAGTTTGTTATTTTGCAAAATCCAGGAAACGAAACAATTGCAAGCTGACACCTTTTTAATAATGGTTTAAATTTAATTAATGCTTTCAATCTGCTCCCACGTATGAGGTGTCAAAAACCATTGTTTTGAACATGTAAACCTCAAGTAGATGTCAAGCGTGCTAATAGCATAGCTTCTATCGCTATCACCTGTAATTGATGCGTCTTGGATGAAACTGCAATGTGTTTGAGACTACCGTTAAATGATACCAATGCGCATCTATAGGTTCATTCCTTATCTTTTTGGACTAAAATCTGAAAAGTGTCAAAATGTCAGAGCGTAAGCAAAATGCGCTCACTAAAAGAGAATAACAGGAAAAGTAAAGGAACGCAAAAAACCAAATTTTTAGTCCAAAGAATGGGAAAACAACAAAGCTAACGTCAAATAAGAATGTAAATGTATGTACAAAACACATTCACACAAGCACAAGCACAATAAACACTTTCTATATCAATTATTTTTTGCCTCCTTCCAATTTCAATTCACTTTTTAGATTATTCTCACTTTTTGCGTATTCTTTAATTTCCGTTAATTTAAATTCAGTCGAGTTTGACACTTTTCAGGATTTTGCCAGAAAAAATTCTTCTGACTAAATCTGACTACTTCGGACTGATGAGAGTCACTCTCACCGAGTGTTGCTCTCTCATTTTTGCTGTCATTGCCGAGTTAAGGAACGCTTTTTGGACTAAATCTGACTACTTCGGACTTTTTCTGACTATTTCTGGGAGATAAGGAACGCTCCTTATATATATAGGATGCGCCTTGGATCATACTGTGGATGGAAACTCTTTTGACAACTTCGCCGACGTATATTCAACCGACTAGAATTTAATATTACGACTAGTACTAGTATTACATACATATCTGTGGACACTTGACAAAACTACTTTTCTCGAGTGAAGACATTTCACCTTCAAACATATACATATGTAATACTTCTATATTGATAGTAAGCTAACAACTCAATGTGTAAGCATTCCGAAATCAAAGCGAGACAGTCTACACCTTTTCCAACAGTATTTCAGAAAACCTCAAATGTATTTCAGAAAAGCGCAAATGTATTTCAGAAAAACACAAATGTATTTCAGAAAAACGCAATTGTATTTCAGAAAAGGCCAAATGTATTTCAGAAAACCTCAAATGTATTTCAGAAAAACGCAAATGTATTTCAGAAAAGGTCAAATGTATTTCAGAAAACCTCAAATGTATTTCAGAAAAACACAAATGTATTTCAGAAAAGGGCAAATGTATTTCAGAAAAGCACAAATGTATTTCAGAAAAGCATAGCTGTATTCTAAAAATATTTTTCTGAAATACATTTGCGTTTTTCTGAAATACATTTGAGGTTTTCTGAAATACATTTGGCCTTTTCTGAAATACATTTGTGTTTTTCTGAAATACTGTTGGAAAATGTGTAGTACTGTTTTTGTCAATGAATTGTGTACTTGAGTGCCGGTTTTGTATATGTGTTGTGTAGATGTTTATTTATAAATGTGTGTGTTCCTTTTCTTTCGTACGTGTTTATTGATATATCTGTACTGTAGTGTATTCGGACGGTACTCTTATGGTCTAATTATGCATACTTCGCACAACTTCGCATAAACTTCAAACTGTAATTTAGTTTGTACTTTGTATATATTTTGTATCTATTCCATTACCCATAAATTACCAGAACTTTTAAAAACTTAGCGATCTGTTGAGTTAAGATTTTGCTTCACATTTCCTTAAGTTACGTTTCTATTGCACTGGTACAAATAGTTGTGTAAAGTTATGCGAAGTATGCATAATCAGACCTTTACTGCCAATATAGGAGTATTACATATATGCCTTCAAAGCAGTAATTCATTGAGTTCTCATATACTTTTATTTTTAATCATTAATAAGATTAGTTTAAGATGCTATCGTAATGAAAGTTAAATAAAAATGTAAGATTTTTGAATGGAAATTCCTTACTATTTTGTCAAAAAACCGCAGTTATAGTTTTTCTTCGTTGAAAGGCTCTCTTAAGCAGTAACGCTCATTTTATCTTATATTCAATTATGATTTATTTAATGGCTTACTTACATAATGCGAAGTTTTATAGTTTGATACGTACATAGACCGATGGTGGTGTTACAAAATATGTTTGCTTATATGCTATTTAAAAATAAGGATTGATAAGCTTTCACATACATACATACAAGATTTTCCAATTACATAATTAACATTTTTTGGTAGAAAAATAAAAGCCATAATACAGACTTAATAATTATAATTGCGAATGCCAACGCGAATAGCACTATCATAGTAATACAGCGTACTTCTACTTATTTGGCAACGGTGGCAAGGGTTCAACGTCGCAATTCCAAACTGGTAGTCCACGGCAAACATATGGCACAGTATTGTAATATTTTGGTTCAGTACGACGCTGATGTATGCGCGCTAGAACCCAACACAAGCTGCCTATTTGGTATGGGGAGACGTCGGCTACTGTGGGCATATCATTTTTTGAGGCTGCAAATTGCAAGATAATGCATTCATTGAGGGTTTTAGGTCGACATAGATTAAAAAATTAGAAATTTGGGTAATTTTACTTTTGACATACGTTTTACAACGCCCTCCTTTTGCCAGCTTACACGATCGATACACTGCCAGGGCAACACATTTCTCGAATGGGGGGCTATCCAGCGGCTAAGTATTTCCGTCGCTATACTGTCCATGTTTGCATCCAATCCAGGCATCAATGTACCAACCAATGTAGGACTGAAAAATAAATCATTCATCAAACATATATATTTCACACATAAATAAGTAAACCAACTTTACAATGGTCATTGGTGTTGGTTAGACTGAAAAACTTTTTTAATTAAAACATCTCAGTTCTCAAAAAAAAATTCCTTTGCCAATTGAATGCCCACTCACCATTTGGCAGCATGGTAGTATAAGTGGGAGCCAACTAATTCGCTGTACAGTCCATTTGACTGCATACGTGACGAGTCGCACCCAAAAAGGAAGACCACACAATTCATTTGCTGACGGGCAATATGTTTGCCTTGGATGTATTGCAATCCAGAGCCGTGGCCAGCATACCTGAAACAGAAATGACGAAGTAAAAAGTTAAATTGAATCTCAGTGCCAATAAATGCATTTTTACAAGTACAGATTCCGAAACATTTTCTTAATTTCAGATTATGGGCTTTGTTGCCAAAAATATGTTAAAAATTCGTACTAAAGTTTGTCATTTTAAAAACGTCAATATACAGTTTAACATACAGTACATTTCCAAAAGGAATAAGACTAATTATTTTGGTTAAATCTTTGGCTACAAAGTTTATTTTGCTCTTCTTAAATTAGAAAAAGCTTTGTACATATGTACATAAAGTGAATATTTACTGTCTCTTACACATAGCAACTCCGCTTAAAAAAGTCGTTTAGGAGCTCGTCTTGTGTTGGCTTTTGTGCGACCTTCTTCAACCAGTTTGGCAGCCAAAACTCGAAAAAGCAACGCATGCGCATCTCCGTCTTTGGTAAATTGTTATCTAGAAAAAGAAAAAGCCCAAGTATGGATTATAAGTAGGTAAGTAATTATATTTAACACCGCAATTAAGTGCACAACGAACCAGGATTCAGAAGGCAGCCACCATCAGTGATGTTTACGCGCAGATACCCACTATGAATGCGTTCTCTGTAAAGAGTATGCAATCGCCAAAGACATTGTAGAGAACTAACACGACAGTATTCTTGTTGGACGTTCAATTCCTCCCAAAAGAAATGATCAAGACGCTGAAAACATTTAAAAGATTAAGCTGAGCTACTTAAATTACATTGTAGTTGGCGATGTACAAACACACCTCATCCACAATTAAAATGCATGGATAGTGATGAATAGATGGCTCTTTTGTGCCGTTGCTAGTGTCGCTTCCAACATCTTCTCGGGCTTCTGCTGCTGTGTAAGGAGTATAATTTGGAAATTAAAATAAATCTACAATTATCGCGAAAGTGCTTACAAGCAGTTTGTAGTTTCAATAGTAATTTAGCAGCGCTACTTTGCTCGCGGCCATTGCTTGTAAGCAATGCACAAATTTTATGAATTTCCAGTTCCGACAGTGATTCGACTTTCATGGCGGTAAGTGAGAGCAAAACGCGTTCTTGTGATTCCCAGTGGTACTCATTGCAAAAGTCATCGACTTTAGCGAATGCTTTTCTTTGCTTACTCAGCAGCAACGCAGCTTCAGTGGGGGATCTGGTGTAAGGTTGACCAGTAAATAGAAAACTCCAAGGAAAAAAAAAGTTTTTCAGCTCTTTCAATGCTTGCTGCAACATTATAATTTGATTAGGAATATGGAAGTACATACGTAAGAAAAACTGAGTAATCTTACTGCAATGTGCTGGTCTAATTCGTATAACATATCCCAATATAATTTTTTTGCTTCTTTCGTGTTATATTCTTTTGGATCCACATTAATGCATTGCTTTAATTGATTTGCAACGTTGGCATATTTTTTGAATAGCCCCTTCTGCTCTGGTCCACTGAAGCGCAGGCATATTGGTGTTGCATATTCCCTACTACGTGCATGCCTCAATAATGTTACATATATATTTGAATCTAACTCTTGTATTTGCCGGAATACTGAAAAGGTAGTTTCCGTTCGAGGTCCTTTACACAATTGGAGTATTGTCCATTCTGAATATCGAAAAAAAGAAGATAGCAATATTCAATAACAAATTTTATTTAATTGACCTTTGGGCAGTTGTTGACAAATTTCTTCGATTTTGCGCACGCCTTCTAAAGGGTCAATGATATTTTGCAGAAAGTTACACGAAACTGTTTGCGGCTTATCTTCGGTGTTACAGTTTGTATTGGGTATACTAATTTTCTCCAGCGCAAGCTGCATAAGCTTGTTACTATTAGAGAAACAAATTTTAAGAAGTTGATTTTATGCAATGGAAATTCATTTACCTCTTTAGGTTGTCCTTTTCCCAGTCATTCATCCCTAGAAGCAATTGTTCCGCCAATTTGGGCTTATCGCGTGGTTGTTGATTTCCACATACAGACGATTCAATTTGAAAGTACCGGTCCTGAGAAGCCTGATAAAGCGCACGTACTTGGTAGAAAATGGATTTGAGAATATTTCCATCGTTATATTCACTTTCCACTTGGTCAAGAAAAACCTCTGAAAATAAATGTGTTCATTCAACCCTCACATGGTCATGGAAAAACAAATTATCGTCAACAACCTTTTGCATTTGGACCAGCATTCACAGCAACGTTGCCTTGCAACAGATATTGCACTATATTCTCCTCCATTCCCCAAAAACTTTCTTTTGCAAATGTTTGCTTTCACGATGAAAATAAATATTTTTGAATCTGCAGCGCCGCAAAAAGTTAAGCTGTCAAAATTTCATTTTGGCATGATCGTCTTAGTACAGGGTGCAAAGGTGAACGAAAAATATGTTTAGAACAGTGACGGCTAATAACCTAAAAATACCCAACCGACGTTAGCACTTCGATAGTTCGTCGATTGTTATTGTTCTTTGCTGTTCGTCCAAATTAACGGTTGTTCGTCAGCCACACAGTAATAATTAATTTTTGAATTCTCACTTTACGTAATTCCTGTATCTAGCACCTCGAACAGATTATTTTGGGTTAATTATCTAGCCCAATTCTGCATATCGAACCGAATCGAAATTTTCTCTGTTTGACAATTTTGTTATTCTGTGTTCCGTTTCGTTTCGATCAATATTCGAAATTTACGATTATACCTAGCCTACGCTTCGTTCCGTTTTTCTAAGTTGCAAATTTGTTGACGATTGTTATTTACGTGAATTTAAATAAGCAACACGAAAAATCGGCTGAAATAATAGCAACCAAAAGGGATATGGCGCGAGGTTTTCAAATAGGAAGTCCAGGAGTTTTTGTTATCTTTATTTATAAATAACACTTAAAATGCACTGAATGCAATTTATTCTTTTTATATAAAATGAATAGATATGTGCACATAAGTATATACAATCATAAAATAAGGAGTTTCATAAAAAAAAAATGTTTTTATTATTGAACTCATTTTTTCCAACTTTTTCGCTATGGAAGGATATCTTTCTTTTCTTATTTTAAAATATTTACAAATATTCACAAGCTGCTATAGTTTGGTGGAAAATATTTCTTTTGTTTTGTTTCGATTTCACACATTCCTAGGCAAACCACTGGTTTCGAAGATGTTTTCGGTCTTCCTCTTCTTCTTTCGATTCGAGTTTAACTCAGAATACCAAATTACGTTTGTAGCGGACCGGAATGCGGAAACTTAATCGAAATTCAGAATAGGGATGATGATTACCATCGATAGTTCGTCGCTTGTTCTTTACTGTTCGTCCATTTTTAATGCTTGTTCGTTAGCCACAGTAATAATTAATTTTTCACTTTTTACTTAACGTTGTTCGTTTAACCTAATATTTAACGTTAAGTAAAAACTTAAACATTAATTATTACTGTGTGGCTAATGTGAGCAATGAAGAGCAATCGACGAACTATCGATTACAATAATAATTAACCTAATGGGCTGTTTTTGCTTAANTTAGTAGAAAAGTTCCATGTTGAAAAATCATGGCGAGAAAATTTTACATTTCCGCTGTGCCAATTCGTAACTTTTTACTGCTGGAAATTGTTGACAGTTGCTCTGGTGCAAACGAAGTTGAGCAATTAAAATCAGAAATTATACAAAAAAGACTTATCTTTACTGACATTTATTATTCTAGAACTAAAAGCCATGCATTTATTAGACGCCTTAGTAATAAAATTAGAACAAAAAAATTCTTCAAAACCGTCATGCGGGTTTGAAAAATTTCATTCACCTCATAGTTAACAAAAATTTACAATCCGTAGTACTTTTCTATCAATTCGCAAATGTCGTTTGCACAAAAAAGGTTATGAAATGCGTTTTATTTAAATCGTTTAGAAAATGAGTCATTTATGTATACCAATTTATGTGGAATTATTCAATAAATTTCGTTTTACACTCTACTTTGGAGTTAATTATTTTTGTTTCTTAAAAGCAACCCTGCGTGCTTGGAAGGCGTGTGTACTAATAATATCATCCCTAGCATATTCATCCCCGAGGAAGGCAGTCGCCAAATTCACCGAAGGTTGTTTACTGGTTATATTGTGCCGAGATCGGAGCAAACTTTGTATTCTCTCAATCGTGATATTCGTCCTGATCACGAAATTCTCCCGCAAATTCGAAATTCCCGAGAATGGTATCACTAATTTCGAGTTATTTTATTGTGATTTATTTTATTTTGATTTAGGATTATTAAACCAAAACATAAAAACAAACAAAAACCAAAGGCAGCACTAACTATGAATGCGTCGGAATTGCTGATAGCATTTCTCCCGAACTCGTGACCGGAGATTTTTTCTCGACGGGAGTTTACTCGGAATCTGTGATAGGCCTGTACGTAAAGTGAAAATTGAAAAATTAATTATTACTGGCTAACGGACAAAAATCTCTATCTTTATACCAGGGACGGTAATCATTATAAGGGCCAGTTTCTCAATGTCTGGTTAACACTAACCAAAGAACGTATATAACAAGAAGAGACAACTCGTTATAATTGTAGCTTAAGTGCGCATAAGGGGCGTTCCTTCCCTTTTACCCTAGTGCGTTTTTTGATTGGATGAAAAGAGTAGGCACACCCCTGTTGCGCACTTTCGCCACAATTATAACGAGATGTCCCTTCTGGTTACCAACGTTGTTTTTACTAACTACAGGTAAACCATCATTATCGACGTCCTGTTATATGTTATGGAGTCGATCACGTTGATAGCCATGTTTAACCTGCAGTCAGTGTTAACCAGACATTGAGAAACAGGTTGTTGTTGTTGTAGCAGCATACAAATTCCCCAAAGCCTTTCTGGAAAGTGTTACTGGAGTGACAGTCCTTGGCCAGATATAAATCTGGGTCGTTCCGGTTACGTAGACCCGACTGTCGTGGGAGAAACAGGTCCTAAGGCCCGGTTGTTAAAAGTCTGGTTATCACTACTTGCCGGTTAAACACCATTATCGACGTTTTCATCATCATGTATATGACATGTGGTCGATAAAGCAGTTATTGTATTTAACCGGAGCTTCTACCTCCGATTAGTGCTAATCAGACATTCAACAACCGGCCCTTAATCATTATTTTATAATTTTTAATTTTTCGGTCAACGGAAATAATTATTACTTGCTTTTTATTTTTTCGATCACAAATAATGATTATCTTATGATTTTTACTTTTTTGCTCAGAGATGATAATTATTATTGAGTTTTATTTTTCCACTTAGAAATAATGATTACTTATAAAACTTAAAAGGCCATATAGACGCAACCAACAGAAATTTTGACCAGCAGACTTTCGGACTTATTGGCTTTTATTAGAGTGTCGTTGCCTCTGAAAAGGCTATGTCGGAAGTTACCCTAGTATTGCTTTTGAGTTTTTTTGAATAAACATCACACTTAAGTGAAAAAGTAAAAATTAACATGAATTATTATTTTCGAGCAAAAAACTAAAAAACATAAAATAATCAGTATTTTTGACTGAAAAAATAAAAATCAGGTATTAATTATTATTTTTGATTTTCATTGGTTAAACTAAAAAAATATAACCATTATAGATTACAGTAGAACGTACTAATACAAATATGTTAGTATAGTTAAAATTGTTTTACGACGCTTACAACAACTTGATTTTTTGGTTAAAAATTAAAAAAATAATAATTTTTTGTCCGTCCGTGATTTATAGTAATGAGGTGCTAACATGATAAAAACATAGCAGGGTAGAACCGTTCTCTCAATTTGTCGGCCATGATTTTTTTTTGAAGTTTGCCAACATTTTAAAATCATATAAAAGTGAAAATAAAAAATTGAAATTGTTCGAAATTGTTGTTGCTTGAGATTGAAAATGAAAATGTACGTGTGAGTTTGTGAGTAAATTTAAAAATTAAATTGTTTGGAAACGTCAAGAATTTTAAAAGTGAGTCTCAGCGGTTCTACCTTACTATATTTTTATCATGGGTGCTAATACTAGGTTTACATATAAGTAGATTATCCTCATTTTCATAACTCCCTAATCTGTTAATAGAAAAAGAGATTAGCCATAGAAAATTCATCCCTTGTTTATCTGTAATTATAAAATAATCTCAGATTTAACCAATAACTTTTCGGTGTGTTCGATTATTTTTGCGAAGAAGAGAAATGCCAATTGTAAAAGTAACCAAAAATGAACGCTAGCAAATAAAAAAGGTTTGTGAGGGTTTTTTAATAAAATACTAAGTTAAAATATTTTTAAAGTGCTTAATATAGCAGAAAAAGTGATCACGGCGTCACGGAGAAGAAACATAGCATTTGCTTGAGACGAGAGAGTAACAAGCACAAAAAATTTGACGGCTACTAATATGAGATTTTCCTGTGTGGGTGATTGAAAAACGAGCTTTGATTGAGATAATATTTATATTTGAACATAGTTTTACGTCGGTTGGGTCCCAAAAATTTATAAGATATCGCAGACGGGAATGCATATCTGAACGTATCCAATTTTATTATTTGGTATAATTTCTTATTTTCCATAAAAAAATGTCAATCTTTGCAATTTACTTCATAGTTCAAACCCCTTTATTAACCGACTTCAAACAAAGGAGGAGATTGTCAATTCCTATGTTACCTTTGGACCCTGCCAACCGATTTCTATTATTCTTTTTTTAGAGGAAAGGTGGTACTTCACAGGTCCCTCACTAATATGGTTAAGATACGATTATTGGATCACGAAGAAACTAACGGTACTCTTTAATTTTTATATGAGAACTGAAGTCGGTTATTTCTTTTGTTTAAAAACTACCTGTTCTATCTACTTAGAAATTTAATAAGATTTCATGCTTAGATACCTTATGCGTTATTGCGAAGTGATAAAAATAACACTTTTACACCGCATTTATTTCGGTGTTGACTTTATACCGTTCACTTCACTTCACGATAACGCAGAACGGGAATTGGGCCTCAGATAATATGTTTGTTCATTGTTTAGGGCACAAATAAAGGTAAATCTTGGATAGTTATATTTTAACTCCAAATATCCCTTCATTTGCTTCTGCGTTGTGCCATTCACTATTTAAAGAACATAGTTGTGTTTTTTTATAAATAATCCAGTAACTTGCCAATAACTCTCCAGTAACTTTATTTTTAAGAATTCGCTCTCATAGAAAAAAATTGCAAAAAAGTACGCGCCCGCTATTCCAGTAATAATTTGCAAGTTTCATGAACAGCTGATAAATTGGTTGTTTATTCGCATCAAATTCCTAATAAAACAATATATTTATATATTTAAATAGGTTTATTTTGTGGAACTCAGCAATAAAAACC